CCGTAAAGACACTATGACACTTGTTTCCACGAGCGATGCGATTGTCGGTCCGAATTTCGAGTCAGCGAAATCCCTTTAACTCGGGAATAGACCATGTGTGATCTATGAAAGGTTTAATGATTACGAGGTTTTATTATGGGGGTTTAAAATTAAGTGACGAGAACGAGAAGAATAATTACTAACATTATTTATTGTCGTTAACCCACAGATAAGGAAAACACACGGTTATATAATAATATATTATATCTAATCTATACATTAATACAGTTACTAACGCAACAGTCTATTCGATAATGGCTATACATTTTACGTACACTGAGTTAGAGGGAGAATCGGATAGGTTTTGCTTAATCTATTTCATGGAAACGGAGGAAGGAGGGGAAATATTGAAAAAGAATTCTACTGGAACTAGGAATGGATTGGCGGAATTCCGGAGGAATACAGGGATACAAAAGGTTGAGTGTTGGCCGGTGATGGCATTCCGGATTTCCTCAGGATCAAAATAATGAGGACCGATTGTGTAGGCCCCCTCAGGGATAGATGCGGTAGTAGTTTTCGGGAATGACTGATGGTGACTCAAGAGTGTCATTCTCTAGGTTTCGGAAATAAGATGTAGGGGTAGAGGAATTTCCTCTAACGCTGTTCGTGGAGTTCGTTGGGGACGGGATTCCTCTGGGAGAAATTGGGATGGAATTGACCGACGAATCGGATGATAACGAGGGAGTCTCGGGGAAGATTCGCTCCGTCAGAGCGTCCGAAAACGCGAGTAACGGAGAGCGAGAGGGAGATGAAGGAAATTGCAGGGGAGATGAAGATGTTCGAGGGGGAAGTGAAGGTGTTTGAGGGGAAGGTATAGCTCTAACAGGTTAGATAGAGCCGGCGGAGTCGGTGGTGACGAGGGTGGTGATGGTAAATGATCCTCGGCCAGGCGACTCCGATCTCACGAACCCCGAAGTATCTCTTCGTCCAAGAGTCTCCGCGCTTCCTGGTAGGCCGACTTCTAAGCCACCCCTTAGGGACGGTTTAGACGCGGCACTATGATTTAATGTAAGTTATAGCGGATATTTCCTATACACACAAACATATGTATGTGCGTGCGTACGTGCGTGCATGCGTTAATTAATTCAATTAAAAAAAATCGTACGGAGCTTCATAAAAAAGTAAATTAAAGGCAAAGATTCGCTTTGTCGGATAATGTAAATCGCATTTGTATATAATTTTTATTCCACTCTGTGCAGCTTCGCAAATTTCATAAAAAAATTTAAAGGTCTGATATATCTTCATTTATGTTTGTGTAACTTCATGAAATCTCGATGAGACCGTTTTTTTAAGTAGCAATCCGAAAAGTAGAAGTTTCTACCTGTAAAATACTTTTTTAGACATCCCGATACGATAATTTTTAACAAAGTCATTATATCTTGAAATTTGCCTATTTTTGTAGAGTGAACAGGTGTTGCGTTAATTTTGTTGCCCAGTGTAATTGTAAAATCAGCATATTTATCGACAAAAGTAATTCCAATCTACAACTGTAGCTGATGCCAATTTAAGTTCCTGTTGTAGAAAATGTTATTGAGAAGGACGTATCATAATAAAATAACTTATAAAGTGACAAGCAGTTGATATTGGAAGTTGGTTACGAGTGTACCATGTTCCCGTTAAAGCACTCATTTTATAAAATTGCACCATACTTTGCGCCTTTTCTTTTTATGAATTTGTTTGTAATAAGTAGCATGACAATGATATTGTTAATTAGCTAAATATCGTGAGCAGAACTGTTGAATTACATATTAGACACTTTATTTCTTTCAGAAAGACATTTTTTGTGATTAAGAATTTGATGAGAGCGATATCATCATTACATACAAAAACTTGTGTAGACGCATGACATGTTACAGTTGATCACAACACTACTGAATATCGAGAGAAAATTGAGTGTCGCCGCAAATAAATAGAAGATCATATTGTTAACGGTTGAAGGTAGAGTTATTAGAGGTTATACTCAAATGGAAAGGTTTATAGAGACTCTCATCTCCCTATAGTGCACGAATAGCAAACATATTTTAAAGCAGGAAATTCTGGTGTTGTATAGTTGAATTTTTTAAAATAACATTTTATTTCTACATTTTTCAGAAATACTCAGAAACATTCGAAAAGTTTAATAGTATATAACACAACTACATAATATTTCCGAGTATTTCCTGCTTTAAAATATGTTTACTATTCGTGTATTGTAGGAAGGTGAGAATCGTGCGCCCCTTTGCAGAGGGGAGGAGGGGATAAGAGTCGCTTTGGATGGAAAATGTAGAAATAAAATTATTTTTATTTTTAAAACTTTTTTTATTAATAACTTTTTAACGAAGGTCGACCGCCATTTAAAACCTGTCGGAGGTTACTCAGGACCGTGATCTTGACAACATTTGTCAAAGTCAAGGTCATCAGCGGAGTGTTCTCTAATCTGAATAATTACTATAGCTAGTTAATAGTTAGGGTAATAGATAGGTATTATAAAAACACACGAAACATAAAAATTGTCTGCAATTTGCACAAGAAATGTGTTTTTCTAATGTAAACTATATATATTTTCCATCAGATATATACGGGAAAAGAATTGTACGTGACGTTATTCATGCAATGTGCAATTGCAGAAAATTCTTGTTTCGTGTGTTTTATGATATGTGTCACCCTAATTGTTGTGCGACAAAACAAAATAATGAATAAATAACTCATCATTTTATACAAATATTGCAATGGATATAAATTTATTACATTTTACTCCGCTATTCTAATTCCTTTTCTTTATCCAATTATGTCAATTATATTTACATTCGTTCGGTTAGGTGGATGTAATAGTTAACAGCGTTAAAAGCATAAGTTTACATTTAATTATATGCAATATGAATTTATTAAAATTTCAATAACATTTTAAATAATATTGTACATTAAAATTTATAAACAAAGAATAAATAAAAAAGTAAAAAAATATTTATCACAGATCTCGAACTCGCATCTTTCGATTTTCAGTGCGAGCACCTAACTATTGCACCTGAGCCAATCGTATTGTTTGCGAAGCATGTTAATAGATCTGTTCGCGTTGCTTGCGAACTTTTGACACTTGACATCTTCGCTTTTTCTCTTTTTAAGGCAAAATATATATCTGTCTCATTTTAAGTGCAAAAATATTTGGAGATTTCGTGCAATGCAAACAGACCTATTGGAACGGCTCATCTACGCCGCCTAAAGCGCGACCAATTTTTAAAATTTTAAAAATCGAACAGCCTATGTGGACAAATCGTCAAACGGAATTTCTTTTCTGACCTGTGATAAAAAAATTGGCATCTAAATCCAAGAGTGCCATTTCTGGGATTCCCCTTGTCAGTTTAATCCGTTCTATCTATACAAGAGCGCTTTGTCAAAAATTGCAGGACACTGCATATATATATATATATATATATATAAATATATATA